CGTGCCTTAAGGTGCAAGAAAATTCATTTGCACTTTCTATAGTGACCATTAGATCTAATGCAACTGTCATTATAGAAATCCACTTATATCATTTCCTTTTAATACAAAACCACTGATACTATTTTAGTTTCTAAATTCAATATTTACCAATACCACTAATTACAACAATAAAAGGTAATTATTCCAAAAAAATTTAAACCTCTTCACCTTTGAAAATCATGTTTCTCAAACAAATAATTAGAAAAGACAATTAGAAAAAATAGATTTTAATCCATTGAAATTTATGGGGTGAAGTGTTGTGCAGAGAAAATAACTTTTATTTTTATTTTTTGAGTCGATGTTTTATATGTCATTAGTTTGATATTCCTGGTGTGAATAGGTTGACGTATGTATGACTAGGACTATGATTTATTACGAAATTGCTAAAAGGATTTGGTGAATAGTTTGTGGGAGTTTTGTAAGAATCAGAACTTAGAATTAAAGGGAGACAAATGAGATAAAGAACTTGCAAATTCAATCTATAAAAAGTGCGGATGAATTTTCTTGTTCCACGGGAAGGAAGAGATCAGCACTATATAGTACAAGATATATAGATACTTGCAAATTAAACTGCAAAACACACACCTTGCTTCTTTGTGGAATTGTTATCAATTTGATTGATTACAGATAAGCTGAATTGCGCGAATTTGCTCCACCCAGATGGCAAAGTTACTGAACTTGCAGAATCTAAATAGATCGATAAATGGTCCACATTGTTCCCCTTCGGAAATATAAGCAACCGCCTTTCCCAGACCAAAAAAAAAAAAAAAACTTAAAAATCAAACATAAGGATCAAAATCAAAATCTAGAAAGAGGGTAGAGATGAAAAACTTTCAGAGTATAGCTTCTGTGTATTCAGCGTGGAAAAGTTGTCAACCCTCCATGTGAAGCGTGCTGATGATGGATCATCAACTGTATTAACAGTTTTTGCTGGTGCAGCAAACAATGATTTTGGAAGAACAATAAAAAGAATCAAAGCCCAGCAATTGAATCAATTCTACTACACACAGACACATATACAAACACATAGTCTGCTTGACTTTGGGTGAACTGGTTCTATTGAAACTGAAACTAAACCCAAAATTTGAAAACTAGATTAGAGGCAATACCTTCCATGGGGCGAGGGATTGTGTTAGAATCGGAGAAAATTCACTTGAACATGTTGGAATCTAGAGGGATAAGATAGAAGTCCAAAATGCTTTACCCTTTTGTTTTTTTGGGGGAATTTGCAATGCTTTAGTTTTTCCGTACAAAGAAAATTCAACCTCATTTTTTTTTTTTTGAAGTTGATACGGAGCACGAGAATAAGCGAAGGGACACTGTTTAGAGTCCAGTTGTTCAAACTTCAAACCTGGACACAGTTCTTTTTAAAATCATTTCATATTAAACGCCGAGTGCATTTGTCACTTACAAAATTCATAATTGTAATTGTGAATTTAAAAAATAAAAATACCATATGAGATCTTCTAAGAGATAAAATAAACCATCACATACTAGATTTACGCCTCTTTTTTTTTTTTTTTTTTTTTTATAAATATGTTGGTATTAAAAATTAGGACAGCAAATGAATCATTTGAAATTGATTCATTTAAAATTCGATATGTGCTCATTTAAGGGCCCGTCTATTGCCGCTTTCATTTTCTTATTTTTATTTTTTCTTTAAAAGTAAAATTATATTTTTATTTTTTTCAAATGAAATAAAAAGTAAAATTATGTTCAATAATTTTTTCTATTTTTAATATTTTTAAAGGATAAAAATAGAAAGTAAGTTTAATAAATTATAATTTTATTTTTGTTTCTTAGTCATCTTTCTCTCCCTGAAAAAGGTGTCTGGGTATTGTTTGGCTTCCTCAATGGCGAACTAAGCAAGCACAAATTTCAGCAGATGTATACAAATAGATGTATCTGCCTTGTCACCGAGAAATCCTATTTTCAGATGAAAGAATAGTCGGAGCTAAAGGGAGCCACATATATATATATATATATATATATATATATTATAGCCTAACGATAGATCCCTTGATCCACTCAGATATTTGGCATACAATCAAGGAATTGCAATATTAGGCATACGCTTATACATCTATACATGTATATATATGTATAAATCACAGATCATACGAATTAAAACACAGAGATTCAGAAGAAGAAAGAAGACTGAAGACATCGAATTCAAACATGGAATAGAGAACAAAACCCTAGAGCCTCAGCTATTATAAGGTGCGAACACTCCCTGCAACTCTCGAAGTCTCAATCAACTGAATGTTATATTGTCGGCGATGGCGATGGTGGCGGGTGGTTGTCGACGGCGAGGGGTTTTTTTTTTTTTTTTTTTTTTTGCGACTAGTTGAAGTTGATTTGGATATATTGTTGATGCCTTTTGATGTGTACGAGAGAGGAGAGAAATGGTTGTGGTTGTGGCTATGGTGGGAGGAGGTGGCAGTGGCAATGACCATGGTGGGGAGGAGGTGGGTGGAGGAGGTGGTGGTGAGAGATGGTTAGACACTTTTTTTTTTTTAGTGCTACAGTCCAGGAAGTAATTTATGTGGATAGTGTATTTAAAGTGAGAACTTTCCATTCTCTTCATAAAATTAGAAAGTACTTTCTTAAAATAAAAAAGTGAAAGTATTTTATTAAACATGATTTTTACTTTTACTTTTTAAATTTAAGAATTGACAGTAGAAATCAGGAATCATTCCTGTTAGTAAACAGGCCCTAATTAGTAATAAAGAAGCAAGTACAAACTCGATTTTTGGGGTTAGAATTGATTCCAAATATTATTAGGTTTGACTCTTAATCACACTAATAACTAAATTGTAGGCTCGTACATGTTCATAAATATAGACTCTTGAACATTATCACGAATATAAGATTGTGGAGAGTTGATTGAATAAGTTCATGAATATAATATTGAACACGAGTTCAAATTAACTTTAAACGAATTTCTTAAATAATGACAAGTCGAGTGTGTAGTCTGCACTCAAATTTTTAAACTCGTTAGAAAGTTCGAACTGAACACGCATTTAAGCAAACCCTATTTCAACTTAACTCGAGAATAACTTGATTTTTTTCAAATAATATTATTCTTGGGATCAAATCAGTACTGTTTGAGATTTGTGGAATAAAAACTCTCTCACACACACATATATATATAAGTTATATATGCAAGTATACATATTATAAGTTTTTACTCTTGATGATAACACCATACCCTTTTAAATGTGCTTTAATAATACAAAAACAGTACCTCATACAGATCATATGATTTTGTGTTCCCTTTTAGGATAGTTCAATTAATTTATAAAAATGAAGTGGATTAAAGTAGTCATTCCTTTATTTGGTGTCACTAGTACATTTACAATGCCTTTAATAAAAAAAATCATTTAGTACAAGTATGTTTGTAAATGTAATAAATATACGAGTAGTGTTATTATGAGAGAGCGCTATCGCAAAAAGTTTACAAAATTCGGAGCTTATAAGCCATACAATTTCTATTTTTAAGAGTTTGGGAGAGACAATTAATTAAAAAAGAATCATTCGCAATTAAAGAAACAAATCAAGCTTTTTTCTCTCTCTTCTCTCCACGTTCTCTTTTTCTCTCATTGGTTGAGTCATTGGTTAATACCCTCAACTAATCTGTCTCTTTCTCTCAATGGGTTAACCCTCAAAGGTGACATACGGGGTTCTAGTAAGTTAAATTTCATTTATTATGTTCGTGACACTATTTCATTCTATTTGAGATTTTTTTTTTTTATATTTTTTTATATGTTTGCGTTTTTGAATTTTAGAATAACCTCATCACAAAAATTTTACGTCAAATTGGTTGAGGGTTAACCAAGAGAGAGAAAGAGAGAACGTGAAAAGAGAGAGAAAAAAACTTAATTTGTTTCCTTACTTGCAAATGATTCTTTCTTAATTAATTCTCTCCCCCAAATTCCTAAATATAGGAATTATGTGACTCTTACAATAGCAATGCTCTAAATATAATATTTTATACTTGTCATTATTTGACAATCTTGTATATGTAAAGCTGCCACCTTTTAATTTTTTTTCACCAATTTTTAATTCTCTCCTTCTAAAGAGTAACGAGTCCAATCCACCCATCTCTATATTTTTTTTTTCGAGTAATGATATTTACACTGATTTATTGCATCGAATTATTATACCAAATATTTCTAAATTTTTTTTCGAGTAATGATACTTGCATCGATTTATTGCACCGAATGTTTCTAATTAATTATTTATGCATAGTACATGTAAGTGGAGGGTCTCACTTATTTATTTATGCATAAATGGATCAATTAAAATAAATAGGTCTGGCAATTCATTACAACAAATCGCATAAATAAAAAAGTAGACCCTCCACTTACATGTACTATGCATAAATAATCAATCAGAAATATTTGGTGCAACAATTCGGTGCAACAAATCGGTGCAAATATCATTACTCTTTTCTTTATATTCCACTCCTGTTAAATATCCATCTCATTATATATATATATACACACACACACACACACACATACACACCATATCTATCTCCTTTTTCAAAACAAGGGGCTGCATGATCGCACTCTACTTATTATTTATAACTTCATAATTAAGAATATGATTTATTTTTTTTACCTTAATCTTCCATCGGAGATTGTTTATAAATGAATCGATTAAAAGAAATAGGTCTAACAATTCATTACAATAAATTGCATAAATAAAAAAATGAACCCTCCACTTACATATACTATACATAAATAACCAATCAGAAATATTCGGTGCAACAAATCAATACAAGTATCATTACTCATTTTTTTTTATATTCCACTCCTTTTAAATATCCATCTCATTATATATATATATATACACATACCATATCTCTCTCCTTTTTCAAAACCAGGGGCTGCATGATCGCACTCTACTTATTGTTTATAACTTCATAATTAAGAATATGCTATATGTTTTTACCTCAATCTTCCATCGGAGATTGTTCCCGCCACTTTGAAGAAGTCGGCAAGGCCCACTGGTCGGCCCATGGGCGGCCCACCCGACGATCGCCCACGGTAATTCAGCATCCGCATTGCATTTTCCATAATGGGTTTTATGAATTTTCTCTCAAAGTTTTGATTTTTGGTAAAAATGTGATTAATTTTGTAGATTTTACAGTGGCCCACCGCGGTTTGAAGGTGATAGGCCGAGGTTTGATGACCGGGATGGATACCGTGAGGGTCCTCGAGGGGGCCCTCCCGATGAGTTTGGTGGCGAAAAGGGTGGTGCTCCGGCCGACTTTCAGCCCTCTTTTAGGGTAATTTCTATTGACTAAATAAATATAGATAATTTATTGATGTAGATTTGATTTGTGTTATTAGGGATTCCAAATGTTTTACGATTGATGTATGGTTGTTATGTTATTCAATTGAAGTTGTTACAAATAGAGGACTGTTGCGCTAGTGTGTGGCAGTTGTTAGATGTTAGTCTTTTGAATTTAACTAGAAGATCTTGTGATGTGTGTGTTCACTCGTAGTAAGTTATGCCTTTTAATCATCTCTGCTTTTATATTTCAGAACACTCCTTTGTGACTCATATTTATTTGTCAAACCGAAGCTGGTCTATTACCCAAACCACTAATGAATGGAAAGTGGGGATGTTAATTAGTAAGATTTTTTTGTTTGTTTGTGTTGGAAATCTTATCTATAAGTTGACTCAACGATTCTGCCAGATTTATTGGGTCTTCAATATAGGCTAATTTTTAGGGATTTTATTTTTATTCTGATTTGATTTGATTTGATTTTATTCCTTTTATTTTGATTTGATTTTATTCTATTTTCCATATTTGTAATTTTCCGCTTGTATATAATGATAGTCAGGCTCTCAAATTGAATACGCCAATTTTACCAAGTTACTTTTTGGTATCAGAGCCTCAAACCTACGCCTCCTTCATCTCTCTCTCTTTCACCGCCTCTTTTAATATCTCTCTCTATTTCATTACAGCCCCTTCCCTATTTTATTTTTTTTCACAGACCTTCTCTCTTTTTCAGGTCGCTGTTGCGACAGTCCTAGGGGGAGTCAATCTTCTCTAGGTTCAACCCCTGTAGGGGTATTCCCTTAGTCTTTTCATGCACTAAGGGTCAAAAGATGTGTTTGTAATTTTTTGGGGCTGTCGGGATATTCGGCAGCATTTTCGAATCAAACCGCCGTGTCTCCGGCTTCTTGGTTTGATCAAAATCAGGTTTATTCCTCCTTTATTTGAAATTATTGGTAATCTGTTGAATTGATCTATTTATTGTTATGGCTGAATCAAGTAATAATAAAGAAACTCTCTTTTCGGCGCAACACACACCGGCTCAACGAGTTACTAGTGTGCTGTTAAATGGTCGTAATTTTGCATCCTGGGCTCGTTCCCTCCGCCTCTATGTTGGTGGAAAAGGCAAATCAGGGTAGATTTTGGGTACTGAAAAGAGGCCAGATATTAAAGATCCTAAATATGCTCAGTGGGATATAGACAATTGCACTATTTTAAGATGGATGTTTAATTCTATGGAGGAACGCATTTATAATATATTCATGTTTTATAACTCTGTTAATGACTTGTGGACTGCTTTGAATCAAATGTATGCTCATTCTAAGAACAATGCTCGTATTTTTGAATTATATCAAGGTATTGCTAAGGCCTCACAGGAAGGTCTGAATTTGTCTGTAACTGATTATTTTGGGTATTTGAGATCTCGTTGGAAGGAACTAGCTCAATATGAGCCTCTCAGTGAATTTCCTTCTAAGGCAGCCTCTCTTCTTGTCAAACGTCTTGATCGTCAGCATACCTGTCAGTTTTTGATGGGATTACGCCCAAAATTTGAACCACTAAAATCTCAGATCTTGAATGCATCACCAATGCCATCCCTGTTGGAAGCCTTTACTACTGTTAATGGTGAAGCACGCAGGCACCGTTTAATTCAGCCCTCAATTATTCTTGTACCAGTGTCTGAGCCTGTTGGGGATAGTACGGCTTTTGCAGCCAACTTTGGATCACGAACTTCTAGAGGTCAGATTATTTGTCACCATTGTGGAAGGGTTGGACATGTTAAGGCTCGTTGCTTCAAATTTCATCCTAAACTGAAGCAAAAATTTTCTAGGAACCGTTTATCTGGAACTGGTTCTTCTCGTACTGCGGCTGTTGCAGAAACTCCTGTTACTACCGGTGGATCTACTGTATTTCCTGGACTGAGCCAGCTTCAGTCTCAGATTGGGCATATCCAGGACCAGCTTGGCTCCCTTGCTTCTAGAGTTAGTGCTCCTTCAACTGCTCCCACTGCAACTATTGCTACAGGTACTCCTACTGCATTTCATGTTAAGGCCAAGCAGCCCATTTGGGTTCTGGATTTTGGAGCCAATGATCACATGACTGGTGAGTTATCAGTTTTTTCTTCTAATATCATAAATATTACCCAATCTGTGTATCTTGCGGATGGCTCTACATCTTACATTCACAGTAAGGGTGTTGTTTATCTGTCTCCTGATGTTACTCTTTCATCTGTCCTTTATGTACCTAAATTTGCCTTTAACCTTTTATCTGTTAGCCGGTTTGCAAAAAACCTCCAATGTGCAGTTATATTCTTACCAGATCACTGTTTGTTGCAGAACCTTTGTTCGAAGAGGATTTTTGGCAGGGGTTATGAGCGTGATGGGCTTTACTACTTTGGGGAACCACCAGGAACGAGTCTTCAAGCTTCTGTCCTACCTACTTCTAGTGTTTATGATGTTTCTTTTCGCACTTTTAGTCTGTGGCATGCACGTTTGGGGCATGTAAACTTTCAATATCTATGTCTATTGTTTCCTTCGTTAAATAAAGCATGTAAGGACCATAAGTTTCAATGTGAAGTTTGTGAGCTTTCTAAACATACTAGAACTAGCTATATTTCTCATATGAGTAGTGCTCCTAGTATGTTTGATCTTATTCATTCTAATGTCGAGGGCCCTTCCCCAGTTACTACTTTCTCTGGACATCGATATTATGTGACATTTATTGATGATTATTCTCGTTCTACTTGGGTTTATTTATTGAAAAAGAAATCTGATGTGTTTCTTTTATTCACCCAGTTTCTTCAAATGATCAAAACCTAGTATAACACTGTTGTCCGTAATATTCGTTCTAATAATGGACGAGTATATGCTTCAAATAAGTTCTGGTCTGAACTTAATAAAAAGGGGATTTTACATCAACTCACTTGCCCCTATACTCCTGAGCAAAATGGCGTGGCTGAACGCAAAAACCATCATCTTATGTCTATGGTCCGATGTCTTCTGAGTGGTATGCATGTGCCTAAATTCTATTGGCACATGGCTATTCTTACAGCTGCTTTTCTGATTAATCGTACTTCCAGTCGAGTTTAGGTGGTAAGACACCACTTCAGATTCTCTAGCCTGATTATACATTGTTTCACCTTTTGCCTCGAGTTTTTGGATGTACTTGTTTTGTTCATAACCGTAGTCTTTCTCGTCATAAACTTGATGATAAATCTATTAGGTGTATTTTCTTGGGGTATTCTGCTATGTCAAAGGGCTATCGTTGTTACGATCCTGTGACCAAACATATGTATCATTCTCTTGATGTGACATTTCATGAAACTGTTCCTTTTTATAGTACTAATTCTGTGGTACAGGATTTTCTCTCTTGTGATTTGGAGAAGGAGATTTCTCCCATTGCCCGTCCTATTCCTCTCTTTGAAAATCACACTGTCCTGGAATCTCCTTCTCCATCCATGCAGGGTTCCCCTCTACCTTTGCAGGCTTACTCTCATCGCCATCGCACTCAACCTCCCCTGCCAGAATCATCTTCAGAACCAGGTCCAGGTAACTCTCCTTCTCGTATTGCTCCTACAATTCCTGAGCGTACCTCCCGTTATCCTACCCGTGATCGTCATCCTCCTAATTGGTATGGTTTTTCTAGTAGCACTAACCACCCTATTTGCCAGTATGTCTCCTATGATAGTCTTTCAAGTGCATATAAATCCTTCCTGGGCAAGATTATGACCGTTTCTATTCCTCAATCTGTGTTAGAGGCCCTCCAGGATCCCAATTGGGTGTCTGCCATGACAACAGAAATGGATGTTTTACACCATAATAATACATGGGAACTTGTTGCTTTACCTTCTGGAGAGAAAACGGTTGGCTGCAAATGGGTCTTTAATGTGAAGTACTTAGCCGATGGTTCTATTGATCGGTATAAGGCTCGGTTGGTGGCAAAATGCTTTGCTCAGATTCTGGGCAAAGACTTTAGTGCTACCTTTGCTCCTATGGCTAAGTTGACGTCTGTGCGACTGCTTGTCTCTTTGTCTGCTGCCCATTCTTGGCTTCTGTATCAGTTAGATGTCAAGAATGCATTTCTTAATGGAGACTTACTTGAGACTATATATATGGATCCACCCGCTGGATTTCGGGCTGAGGGGGAGTATGCTGGGAAAGTCTGTAGGCTACGGAAGTCTCTTTATGGTCTGAAGCAATCTTCTAGAGCTTGGTTTAGTCGTTTCAGCGATGTTGTTTTATCTATGGGCTTTGTGCGCTGCCACTCAGACCATACTTGTTTTATTCGACGTCGCTCTGATGGTCGTTGCATTATGTTATTGGTATATGTGGATGATATCATTATCACAAGTGATCATGCTTCAGGGATTGCTCAGGCGAAACTTCATCTTCAAAAGTCCTTTGATGTGAAAGACTTAAGTCCTCTTCGATATTTTCTTGGAATTGAGGTTGCTAGATCCCGTCGTGGAATTTCTTTGTCTCAAAGGAAATATGTTTTGGATCTTCTTCAAGATACTGGCATGCTTGGGTGTCGACCCGCTTCCAAACCGATGGACCCCAATCTTAAACTCTCTGTTGAGCCAGGGGAATTACTTCTAGATCCATCTGTGTATCAACGTTTAGTAAGTCATCTTATCTACTTGACTAACACAAGGCCCGATTTGACATTTGCTGTTAGTGTGATTAGTCAATTCATGCATGCCCCTCGCTCAGCTCATATGGATGCAGTCTAACCATATTTTAAGGTACCTTAAGTCGTGCCTTG